AAAAAGAAAAAAAAAAGCGCTATGTTCAGGGACTGCAAAAGGACACTAGTTCAGCCATTGTTAGGTGCCGTGATGTTGGCTCTGACTCATAGAGGCCTGATTAACAACAGGACAAACCACTGCCCGGCCAGCCCTGCGCCATCCTCACAAAGGTTGCATCCATCACCCATCTCCTTGAGGGCCTCCCTCTGTTTTGATGACCCTCTTCTGTGCGCTGCATTTTGTCTTTTAGAAGGACACTGAAGAAGACACACAGCCCCTCTTCCTCCCCTTCCCCTGGGTCTCCAGACCTTCTCCCCTTAGGGGGCTCCCTGGGCTTCTTGCCGCTGGAAGACCTCTGATCACCAATGCATCGGCTTCAGTAAGCAGCTTGCTGTGCGATGCTGCTGGCTCATGGTCATACCTTTATCCTTGATGGCCTACCACTTCCCTAGAAGGAAGACAGGCTCCAGCAGGAGATTGGAGCAGAGAGGAGCATGAGGTTGGGGCAGTCCTGCATCTTGTGGGGTGGCTGCAGGTCCCAGTGACCACTCACTGCAACACTGGAAATTGCTTCCCACTGTGGAAGCCTATAGGAGAAAGAAGGGGCTTTCTACTGCCATCGAGGTTCAGTCTTGGAAACGCGCAAGGGCAGCTCTACTTTGTCCAGTAGGGTCATTAAGAGTCAGAATGGACTCGATGGCAGTACGTTTGGTTTGGTTTGGTTTGGTGGAAGACCAGAGGGAGTCCTAGTGGTCCAGTGGATTCCATATTAGGCTGCTAACTATAAGGTCAGCAGTGTGAAACCACCAGTTGCTCCAAGGGAGAAAGATGAGGTTTTCTACTCCTTAAAAGATTTACAGTCCTGGAAACCCACAGGAGCAACTCCACCCTGTCCTATAGGGCCATTATAAGTCACAATGGATTCAAAGGCAGTGAACTTGGGTTTGGGATTTGGTGGTAGCCTGGGGTCCTGCACTTGCCTTTACTGGCTTCTCTGACCCCCATCACCCCTTGTAAACAGTCCCTTCTCCACACCCTCCTCCAGTTACTTGTTTTGAGTGCACCTATATTTTCTGCTTGGCAGATGGAGCCAGGAAGCAGGCTGCTGTTACCTCCAAGGTCGATGATGGCCCACGTCCATTCCTTCAACTTAACATTCCAGATTGCACAGCTGAAGTTTTGGCCAGGCTGTGGCTTTAGCTGCAGAACACTGGTGACCCAGTAGAGGCCCTCGGGGGTCTTGGTGTGGCTGGTGTTGGCAGGAATGCTGACGTTTGGCCAGATCACTTCTGCTAGAGGGTACCCTTCAGCCTGGCAGGTGAGCTCTACCTCATCTGTTCCCGGGACCTTATGGACACTCGTGCTTATGTGCTTGTAGGAAGCTGGACAATGGAAGAAGAAAAAGAAACAAGTCGATATGCAATGTCATGTGAAATGAATAACAACAACCATTTTCAATATTAAATAACAGTGGCGTTCATGTACCAAACACTTTTCATATGCTAGAGAGCATGTTATTTTAGACACTATGCGTTCTGGGGGCATAGTGGGTCACATATTGGGCTGCTAGCCAACACTGCCCCTGATAGCTTCCTAGTTCATTGTATTCCCATCAGGGCTAGCAGCTGGGTGGGGAAGCAAGATATTCTTATCCAGTAGGTTGGGTGGATGAGGGAGCTTGGGTGTCTGATCTGCAAACCCAGACTCAGACTGATAACGACGGAGCAAGAAGCAAGATCCCCTCCATCTTAAGTCTTGTTCTCCTGCAAGGAGTACCCAAGAAGTCCCAACATTGAGGGAGAAAGAAGCATGTGTTTACCCTAATAGCAAAAAAATGAGGTCCATTTCCCATGTGGACATCCATTCTTGTGCATATAGCTCATGACATTAAGAACTTGGAGAGGAACAGGGGTAAGTGACTCTCTACCTGATCCCAGCTCAACACATGCTGTCATTGCTGACTGCTGCCAACGAGTTGGCTCTAACTTACTGCCACCTTGTGAATAACGGAGCCCAGCACTGGCTGATCCTACACCATCTTCAGGACCACTGCTACTCTGAGTCGATTGTTGTGGCTATATTGTGTCACTCCGTTTCACAGAGGGCTCCCCTGTTCTCGGTGACCCTCTGCTCACCAGTGACTTCGGACACGTTATCAGGAGAGACCAGACTCTGGGACAGAATATCACACTTGAGAAAGTAGAGAGGGGTGAGAAAGAGGAAAGTCCTGGGTGAGCTGGGTGGACACAGTGGCTGCAACAATGGGCTCAAACACCACAACCATTGTGATGATGGCGCAGGATGGGCACGGTCTCATTCTGTTGTCCACAGGGCTGCTATGAGTAGGAACTGACTGTATGGCACCTAACAGCCATCTCTTACCCATGATGCTCTCTTATAGTGATTGGCCTTTCCTGAGGATGTGCCAAAGCAAGAGAGCTGAAGTCTCACCATATTTGCTTCTAAGGAACTTTCTGTTTGTATTTTTTCTAAGACTGGTTTGTTCATCCTTCTGGCAGTCCATGCTATATATATATATTCAGCATTCTTCCACTAACATACACGAACTCATTTGAACTACACAGTCACCCCATGATGAGCATGATGTTCCTATTTTGTATGAGGAAACAGCTGGGTTTCAAGGCTGGGGGGCTTGGACATATGACCTTCTTTCCCCCAGTTCTGCCTTCTGCACTGGATCACCCAAAGAAAATGATGCTCTGTACAGCTGCAGAGTTCTGGGACTGAGCAGCATATACAGGAAGAGAAAGCATCTTTCCTGGAGCCTTAGAAGTAGTAGGAGATGAGGCGAGTCGGCTTTTGAAGCAGCCTACCATTGGACTTTAGCTGTTTGAGCACACTAGACTCTGAGGAGCCTAATTCTGCCCTATCTCTAACATGAGGCATGTGAAAGTCCACAAATAGTTAAGTGCTCAACCACTCCCCAAAAGATTGGTGGGTTAAACTCACCTAGAAAATTTGGAAGTAAAAGGCGAAAGATATATACGATCTGAAGAGAAACGCCGGACAGTGTAACTTATGACAAAACTATAATAATTTATAAATTATGAAGGGTTCATGAGAGAGGGGGGTAGGGAGGAGGGAAATGAGCAACTAATATTAAGGGCTAAAGTAGAAGGCAAATGTTTTGAGAATGATGAGGGCAACAAATGTACATATGTGCTTGACAAAATGGATGTATGTATGGACTGTGATAAGAATTGTACGAGCCCCCAATAAAATAATTTTTAAAAATCGGAAGTTATCAAAGATTTAATTTTGCTCCGATTCACAGTCAATGCTCATGGAAGCAACAGTCAAGAAATCAAACGATATATTGCATTGGGCAAATCGGCTGCACAAGACCTCTTTAAAGTATTGAACAGCAAGGGTGTCACTTTGAGGACTGGAGTGCTCCTGACCCAAGCCATGTATTTCCAGCTGCCTTATATGCGCGTGAAAGTTGGGCGATGTATGCAGGAGACCACGGGAGAATGGATGTGTTTGAATTACAGCGCTGCTGAAGAATCCTGAAAGTACTGTGGACTCTCAGAGGGTCCAACGGGTCTGTCTTGGAAGAAGTACAGTCTGAAATGCTCCCGAGTGGTGAGCATGGTGAGACGTCCTTGCACACGCTTGGACAGACCAGTCCCCGGAAAAGGGCACCATGGTTGGGAAGTAGGAGGTCAGTGGAAAAGAGGGAGACCATCAAGGGGATGGATGGACACAGTGACCGGAACCATGGGCTCACACATCACCAGTGTGAGGTGGCTCGGGACCGGACAGTGTTTCTTGTACACAGGGCCACTGTGAGTTAGAACCGACTAGGGAGCACCCGGAAACCACGGGAGGGCCTCCGAAGATAGGCCGCAAACTGCACCTCCGACACGCAGGCTCCCGAAGTCCGAGCTCACGCACTGGCCATCAGCGAGAACGCCCGCCCGCGCGTCTCCAGTTCTATTTCATCTGTCTGAGGTTTTCTTCAACGCATTCCATTCTGTGATGTGAGGACGCCTCGATAAGGTCTCTCATTTGGGGGATGAAATAGGATCAGTAGATCCACCGGTACCATGTGTTGCGGGTGAGGGCTGGTCAGGCCTGCTCCTGCAGGGAGCTCTGCGTAAGAAGTTGACCTGGAGGGCAGTGATGAGTGGTGACTTTAGAGGTGGGGGAGCCCAGGAATCCAGAGCTGGACCAAGGCTTTGTCTTGGGCTAGGGGAGGGAGGGAGCAGATGGGAGCAATGTTAGCGTCTGCAAGATTTGGGGAAGGACAGGTGCCCACATGCTATATTTATGCAGTGTCATGTTTATAAATATCCAAGCCACTTCCACAGCCTCTTTCTTGAGAAGAGGTGGTAAAGGCATCATTAGCAACTGCCCACACAGGGGAAGCTGAGCCGAGGGTAATCTTCTTAGGAAAAGAGAGGCACATTTTAGAATGTTTGAACCGGAGGGTATCTTAAAATTGACGTGGCTGGTGGTCTTGAACTTACACCTTTGGGTTAGCAGCCCACTGCATTGGAACTGACTCTTTGACAGTGAGTTTCAGTTTGATAAGGGCTAAGACATTTTTCCCCACACAGACACAGAGGTGAAAATGGGAAGAATTTGCTTGTTAGTATTGCCACTGCATGCTTTGAAGTCTAGGGTTAGCTTGTCAAATCCAGACATTTGGGGCTATCAGATGATAACTCGATTCAGTCTTCCAATGTGGCTGAAAGCAGATTTTTGGTCTTAAAATATGTCTTGAAAATGACCCATTTTAATGGCCCTAAAGTGTGGTTCAGGGACATGAATCACATCCACCCTAAGGGACAAACCTCACTGTTGCCCATTTCCATACATTTTCCGTCACGCTCCACAGAAACCCAGTACCTCTTAAGCAATGAATCCCCTCCTTCCCCTGGCCTTATCCCCTGGCAGCCACTGATGATACTTTTATTTCCATTAAAAAAAAAAGAAAGAAAAGCAACTGACTTGCAAAAGGATTTGTTCCTGAGTAGATGGGGTTAAGAGAGCAATGTTTTTGCTGAGCACTAAGGATCTTTTAGGCCCTGGGACAATGCACTGCATTCAGGATGGGAGCTGCACCCAGACTTTTAATGAGGCAGGGAAAGCAGCAGAAAGAGGAAGTGCCTCAGGGGAACCCCAAAAGCTTCCCGACAGCTTGTTCTCACACACATCTACATTCAGAAACAGTGCTCGTGGAAGACAGGATCCGGGAACATACTTCCTAAAACTGTACGCGAGCACTGCTGTGGGGGCTGTGGGCTCCACCACATGACACTGTCAGAGGGGCGAGGCCAAAAGGACTATCTATAGAATTTTTATGCAGTTGCAGCAGAAATAGATCCTTTTAAAAATAAAAATAGCCCTGTAGTTAGCTATAGTTGTAAGCCCAGCTTAGGTGAATCTACATTCCTACAAGGGTAAACTTCTATGCTGACTTTATGAACTGGTATTGTCATCTTAAGGCCAAAATTGATCAAAACTCAACTTGCTGCCGTTGAGTAAATTCTGACACATAGTGACCCTATACAACAGGGCAGAACTGCAGGAACTGCCCCGGTGGGTTCCCAAGACTGTAACTCTTTATGGGAGTAGAAAGCTTCATCTTTTTCCTGAGGAATAACTGGTGGTTTCGAGCTACTGACCTTGTGATGAGCAGCCCAAGATTCTGTGTGGTCTAGTAGGGGAGGAGGTCTGTGGTAGGGGCAGGACGGGTGACACTAACCCCAGCAATGCCACTGCCCATGTACCCCTTAGAAAGTCTTTGTAATCCCCAAATATCCCAGTTTCAACACCATTACTTTAAAGAACAAGTCCAAGGGGGAAAGTAGTGAGAATAACTTCCAAGGAGTGAGGGGTAGCCCTTGGCCTGAAAGAAGAGGAGAATTGCTCAAATTTGCCCTTCAAATGGGACTCAGTACAGCTGGAGGGGTGTTGATTTAGGGGAGCAGCTTCTGAGTACCGTGGGGGCCATGACATTGCCTTGTTGGCCCTTGTCACGATAACGGACCTCGGACTGTCTTTCATGGGATGCAGATGTTCCCAGTGGTGCCTAGAAAGGGTTAGTTAGGTCAAGGCTAATGCTTCCCTGGTGACTCACTGGGGGTTGAGGTGTGGGGACACTAATTCACCAGGAGCCATCAAGATCTTTCCACCAAAGAGCAAGCCATTTGCTGTATGCCAGGCACCATGCCCAGTTCTTGTTCTCTTGGTGAATCCTCATACCCCTACTGTGTGCTCAGGGCCCCCCTCGTGGTTTATGGTGCGGATTATGGACAACTGGAATGTGAGACAACTTGCCCAGGACCTCCTGTGCCAACAACAGTCACCCTGCTGTTGTCTGATCCTTCTAGCCGAGTACCTCTTTGCACCAAATCAGAGTCGCAGCATTGCTGCCCAGGTCAATGTGGTTTAGAGGTCAAGAGCCACAGTCCCTACAGAAGACAGAAGTGATGTCTGAAGGCATCCTGGGTGGGGTGGGAGCAGAGATGGACCGACACAGGGCAGTCGGTGGAACTTGGCAAACACAGAGCGGAAGAGGAGCAAACTCTCTTCTTTCATCGCTGTTACACTGTCTTTCCCAAGGGGACACAAGGGACCACGAAGGTTCTCTTCAGATTTCCGTTCTTAGCTAGTGTGGTGGACAGAAGAGGAGAGCCCTGAACCCAGAGGCACGGGGACCAGAATCCACAGCCCTGGAGTCAATTCTGACTCAGATAAACCCCCCACAGGACAGACTCAGACTGTCCCATTGGGTTTCCAAGGCTGTAGATCTGTATGGAAGCAGACTGCCATGGGAAGATTGGTGGTTCAAATCCAGCAGCGACACCTTGGGAGAAAGGCCTGCTGTGCTGCTTCTGAGCCATCACAACTTTGAAAATCCAATGGGACGCAGTCGCCATGAGTTGGCATCGACTCGGCAGCACCTGGTAGGGGTACCTAGATTTCCCCTCACCTCAGCTGACTTACGCTCAGATGGCAACCATATTTTTGACCAGGTGCTCCTGTTTTCTCTGAGGTGACCCTGCTCTCAATAGCCAGCGTCCCAGTGTTTCTCATGGAAGGGAGGTGCTGAGGGAGACTCACCTCTGACTTCCAGGGTCAGGTACTTGTAGTCCCAGGCGTCCTTGTGGACAATCAGGCAGCGATACCTGCCCGCGTCACTCACCAGGACCCGGGCGATGTGGAACAAGGCCTGCCCCTGGTCCAGGGGCTCCTGCAGAAGAACAGCCTTTTCATTGGGTAAGGCCGTGTTATTTTTCATCTTCTGCAACTGGGCGGTGAGTGCTCCTAAGTCAACAGGCCCTCCGGTGTCAAAATCGCACTCCAGGGTCACATTGCTGCCATGGTCTACCACGTAGTGTTCCCTGGGGACAGTCACTGTGAAGAGAGCTACAAAGGAGATGTTCGGTTGGCCTCTGCCTGCTCACCTCCGCTCTGCCCAGAGGTAGGGGGAGGAGACACGGCTCTCATGTTCTAAGTGGCCCCTGCTAGTCCCTGGGCAGCTCGGAGGTCCCCTTTCTTGCCTTTGCCTCATGGAGTCCCGAGGGTGGAGTTCTTGACCCTTGGGTTTGTGGTAGCTCTTTCTTCTAAATACTTCTAAATACTGTGTAGCTGCATATCCTTGGCCCCCTGACCTCCCTGCACAGTCCAGCCAGAGCTTCTGACCAAACAAGTTTACTTTCTAGCATCTTCCATCTCATTCTCTGTAGCTCTTACAAATCATCCCTTGCATAGAAATGGAATTCCTCCTGTGATTTCTGTACCACTGAGGACTCAGCCCATCTTGTTTAATTACTACCACATCTTACTGTTCAGCCCATTGTCCCTCCACATGAATTCATTGACATCTTGGTCCCCCAAAGACCACTTCCTGTCACTGGTGACAGTTAAGCTCAAACCATCCTTTCTTGAGTTCTGGGGAGAGGTTAGGTGATAGGTTCCCAAACTTATTTGGCCTACTGTCCTCTTTTCAGGAAAAAAAAAGAAAATTACTGTGTGCATTCTGGCAGTGAAGCATTTTGTACAATAGCCCATCCCCTATGATAAAGTGTCGCCATCTGCTTTTGCACTAGGTGCATCTGCTGCACAAGACCCATCTCGAGGACTGAAAAGCAAGGATGTCACTTTGAGGACTAAGGAGTCCCTGATTCAACCATGCTTATTTTCCATGGCCTTTCATGCCTGCGAAAGTCGGACGTTGAATAAGGCAGAGCAAAGAAGAATGGATGCATCCGAATGGTGGTGCTGGCCAGGAATCTGGAAAGTACCGCGGACTACCGAAAGGACAAACGGATCTGTCTTGGAGAAGTATGGTCAGAGTGGTCTGTAGAGCACTTTGGACACGCCAGGAGAGACCGTCCTGGAGAAGGACATGGTGTTTGGTAAAGGAGAGGGACAGCGAAGGGGAGGCAGGCCCTCAATGAGATGCATGGACACTGTGGCTGCAACCATGGGATCAGGCACAGGAACAGCCGTGGGGACGGTGCAGGACTGGGCAGCGTTTCGTTTTGCTGTGCAGACGGTCACTATGGGTCGGAATGGACCGGATGGCACCTGGCAACCACAACATCTGCTTTTGCAGTCCTGTTGGGTCGTTTTAGGAGGAAGACAGCTTTGTGCGCCCATAAAGAGTTACAGTCTCGGAAACTCACAGGGGCAATTCTACCCTGTCCTATCGGGGGAGTGAGTCTGTGGATGGTCCCAGTGCCCTGCAGGCGGCGGGATGGCCCACTTTGGGAAACACTGGGTACTGATATGGGGTCTCCCTGAGGAATTCCTGCAAGGCTGGCAATACCACTGTCTTCGTTCCTAGTGAAAACAAAATTGAGGCACAGAGGGGTTAGTGAAGCGACTTGTCCGGCACCACAAGCCCAGCACACAAGCCAAGTGTAGAAGCTACCTTCCTCTTGACTGTCAACCGTGGGATGGGTGGCTGCTGTGTGCCAGGCACTGTGTTGGACTTTTCCTCCTACTCTGTCTTGGTCTGGAGCCAGCTTGCCGCCATAGCATCACACAGTCTGTCACCGACAGACGGGTCATGAGGGACCCTGAGGCGCGTTGGCCAAGAAGTGAACCCGGGACTCTCACCCGGAAAGTGAGACTCCTACCACAGACCCGCCCCTGTCTCCTCTTGTTCTCTGATATAAAACAGGAAACAGGGAAGAGAAATGAGGCATGCAAAGAAGGTGAGTTGTTGAGTCTGAGACATGACAAGAGTTCCGTGGGCCCAGACCTGGGTGAATCTGCTCGGCCGGCCGTGCGCTGACCACACTCACTCTTCCTTCTCATGAGCGTCGGGACGCCTGAAACTTCCGCTGGAAGTCCCCACCGCCTGCAGCCGAACTCCCCCTTCCCCGCCCGGGCCTGTGACAAGCATTCACCCCTGTCCCCTTCCCCACTCTTGGTCTGTCCGCATACTTCGTAGGCCTGAAGCACGCGACCTTTCAGACAGGTGGCAACAGGGCCCACCTCTAAAGGGCAGGGTCGGCCAATGACCACGGGAGGGGAAGACAGCGCCAACGTACAGACGGTGTCTGCGAGCAGCCCAGAATACCCACAGCTATTGAGTCTAATTTTGCCCCGCTGGCAGCTGCCAGCACATGCAAATGCCCCAAGGCGCCTGCCTCAGCTGAAGAAAATGAGCGTTAGGGAATACAGTGTGCTTTTGAAATCCCAGCACAGGTCGACTTGCAGTGAATCACCAAGGCAACATCTCTCAAGCCATCAGTTTGGTCAGGAGATGGCTCCCAACCCTGGCTGCACCTCAGAATCCCTTAGAACGCCTCCCTCCTCAGCATCGGTGGAATCCCCTGTGGTTTCTGACTGTCACTGAGCCTCACCTGCACCCCTAAGGTTGGTTCTCAAGGGGGTGACCTTTCGAAATCAGATCCCCAGTCTGTCCTTCAAGGCACCTCTGGGTGGGTTTGAACTGCCTACCTTTGGACTCATAGTCAAGAGTTTCACTACTTGCGCCATCTGGGAGACTTTCTAAAACAAAACAAAGCCAATGCCTGCGCCTCCTGTCGGGTCTTTCAAAACTTCTATCTATAAGTTCTTTGGGAGTTTCTAGATTCAGACCACCCACTACCATCAAGTCGATTCTGACTCATAGCATCCTCATACAGGGTTTCTGAGCTGTGAGTCTTTATGTGAGCAGACAGGCAGCCTCAATTTCCTCCTAAGGAGCTGCTGCTGGTGTTACACCCTTTGAGCGTGCACTTCAGCAGTCCACCGCTTACCCGGCATCGCCACCAGGGCTCTTCAATGTGCAGACAGTACTGGCTAATAGCACTTGGTAATGGCACGTCTTGGACCCTCACGGCATTCAAAGGAGGTCCCCAGCTTCACCTGACACCAGTTAGAAATGTAGACAAGGAGACCTGCCCGGAACCAGCAAATCGGAAAACAGGCACATTCCTGTTTGAGAAGCAAGCAACGTTTAGCCTATTATTATCAGTCAGTAGAATAATAGTTAACCCCTATTAAGGGCTTGCCATGGCCAAGACGTTCAAAACCTTTATATGAATCCATCATCTCCTTCAAAACTCTCAACCATGCTGCCAGGAAAAATGCCCCCAAACCCACAGGGCCCAAAGCAGCCCTGGAGGGCAGTAGTCCTTGCCCACAGGCTTGCCCGCACCGTGACCTTTCTAGGAACAGGCTACTCCATCTTTCTCACATGGGGCATCCGGTGGGTTTGAACCTCCAACCGTTCGGTCAGCAGCTGGTCACTTAATCACTGTGCCACCAGGGATCTTGATAGATGAAGTTTACCCAAGGGACATAGCTTCTCCACGGCCCATGGCCGGTCCTTTGAGGAGGTAGCATTCGAACCCATCTCTGTATCTTCAAGGAGTCCATCACGACTGACGGCCTTGGCAACCCGTTAGCCAGGTCAGCTCCGTCGTAGGGTCCCGTGGGTGGGAACCCACTGGATGGCAGTGGGCTTGGGAGGTTTGTTATCTCCCAAACCTGTGTCGTGAACACCTCCATGTACGCTTACCACACCCTTGAGTGAGTCGGACACTCTGCATTCTACATCACATGCCACTGGGGTACGCATTGAACTGAGGTTCGGCTGAACTTTGAACTCGTGAAGTGATGAGACAAAAGGAGAACACGGAATGTTTCCTTGATGACCAAAGGTGGCCGGCTGGAATGCAGGTTTTCCTCTTCGGCTCGGGTCCTTCATTAAAGCAAGGGGCAAGGATTTGGTCAAAGCAGAGCATTCCTGGGGAAGTGGCATTTTCTCTGTCAGCAGGCATCACCGGGAGTGCACACCTGGCACCCTCTCCAGGAAACGCAACCCCAATGCTTTGCATTTGCTCCCAAGATAGCTTCCTCGTTAAGCTAATTTTATGATGATTTATTTATTTCGTTAGCAACAGCAGCCTTTTTTTTTTCCAGACTTTCTACCCAATACTTGAAAGATGGGGCCAGGCAGTGTGTGTGCATGGGGGTGGGGGTGGGGAGCTTGCTTTTACGTGGTCATGCTCGGCAGAAGACACTGGCCTCCTGGTGGAAGGCAGGGGCCTCCCTCCCCTTGGCAGGAACACTTCCTACTTGGATACCTCTTCTAGAAATTCTCTCCTCCACCTAATCCTTCTGCTTTGTCTACCCCAGAGGGCGGCAGAAGCAGTTTTGGAGACTAAAGATAGACAGGATGAGTGACTCAGGGTGAGGCCCCCCCGCCCCCCAACTCAGAGTAACTTCCAAGTGTCACTGTGACCACACGCCTCCCCCACTGTTTTCAGCCATCTCTGGAGGATGCAGAAAGAAGGAAACATCAGCGAAAGAAGGAAGATTGGAGGGGCTCTTTCTTCCAAGTCAGGAAAAGTTGCAAAAATAGAGCATGTCCCCTTAAGTGTGTCTGGGTAACAAACTATCCTTAGGTTTTGAAATAAGGGAACCAAAAACATAAGAAATGAGAAAAACAGAAGCAACCACCCCTCCCTCCCCCAGAACCGACTCATATTGTTAAGTGCAGTTGCATGGGTTCCAACCATGTGCACAACAGAACGGAGCACTCCCCTCTCCGCACCTTCCTCAGACTGTGGAGGCTTTGTCTGTGCTGCTGCCACTCGTTAGCACGTCGCCTTGAGGGGCTTCCTTGCTTTTCTTGGGCACTAAGCATGATGTCCCTTCTGAAGGACTGCTCCTTCTTGGTAGCAGATCCAAGGGCCATGTGACCAAGTCTCACCATCATCCTTCTAAGGAACATTCTGGGTGCTCCTCTGGCAAGCCAACCTCCCCTTGATCTCCTCCCCCAACACCGACATTCAAAGGCATGTGTTCGTCTGCAGTTTTCCTCACGCGTTGTCCCGGTTTGCCATATGAGCCAATTGAAAGTCCCATGGCTTGGGCCATGGGCCAAGCACAGCGTGGTCCTC